GACACAAGTGGCGTCGGTGACCTACCAGTACCAGACTCGTAACCATCAGATTGCGGGTTCAGGGGTTCGAGCCTCAGCTTGGTCCGACGTTGTGTTCTTGGGAAAGACACTTCTCACGAATTTCCTTTATGGTTCGGTCCTTTCGGAGAGGGACGTTAAACTCGGAAGTCCTGCCTCTTAAATAACCTAATAGGATCGATAGAGGCGTTAAAGCAATATCATTTCAAACACAAAAGGTAGACTTAACTACTACAGGACCACGGTTGTGTCTTGCTTAGGGTACTCACGATGAGACCAGTTGAAACTGAAAATTCGGCCCATACCGGTTTCAATTTTAAATTACGTTTAACATCTGAAACATTATACTATCAAACTATCTTTTTAAAAAACATTTCAGCTTTCAGCGACCACACAGTCAGAGCTATCGTGTATGTTGTAATGATCGTGTTCTTGACTTCCGAGGCAAACACATCATGTTTTTGTTTTTCATGTGGGAAAATTTACAATTTTATCTAACATGTGGGATTGAGGTAGTCCACCTTCTGATGGTCTACATCAGCGCTTGTCTACTGTTTAATAGCCAGCACCTATTTTTCCTACTTTAAGAGGCTGGAATGTGTGTACCACCCACCTACATGGACTTCTGAGCAGGACATTGCACACTACCTGTCACTACCCGATTGGTCCCTACCGCCCACCAAAAATTGTGAGTGGTTGGCAGGTGCTCTGGTGTAGTTTGCTTCTTCTTTCCTATCAAACATCTATCGTCCTTATCTCCCCTTCTTCTTTTTTATGTTTGTTACTCTCTTGTAACACCTCTAATCTTCTGGCGCTCATATGAGCTTATGCAGTTGCGAGTGCCGTAAAACCTCTACTAAAAGTAAACCCTCTGGTTCCTCAGACGAGCAAGAGCAACAGCCAGAAGAGAACAGCCTGGAGTCTGACCCGGCCCGGGACGAGATTCTGGAGGTGGACAGCGACATCCGCGAGGAGCTTCTGGAGCTGAGGAAGTCGCGTCTGTACCACCAGAGCCCGGAACGCCGCGAGGCTGCCAGGAAGATGATGACCAAACATGAAGCTGTGACAACTTCTTCGCCACAAGGCTCGGAGGCTGTAGTACCTGGCCATGATCACAACCACGTTGAGCTGTAGAGGAAATGAAAATTTTGCAGGAGGAGAAGTGTCTTTTTGATTGGATCTTTGAGTCTGGACTTTGGCAAAATTGTTGTTGTTCTTTTTGTTGTTGTTGCTGTTGCTGTTGCTGATGTTGTTATGAGTCCTGCAGCTCCTGTTTTGTTTTTGCCCTTTGGCCAGTGCCATACTTTTGTATTACTGGTAGAGCACTGATGGTGGAAAGAAAATGAAAAAGAACAATATTTTTTGGAGATGCAGTTTTTCCGAAAAGTTGGCACATTAAATACATTTTTTAAAAAGTTTTGATTAAGTGATATTACAGACTGAAATAATGAAAAGGCGGGGGAAAATAGTTGTTCTGAGATACCCTTGAGGCTACCAGTTACATGTGTCGTAGGGCGTTTTTGATGAATCCCATAGGTGGCTAGAGTCAGTTCTTTTCTTTTTTTTCTAATTTAAAAATAGATTAACGCTCTTTATCTGATATAAATATTGCTCTTCAAGAGCGAGCTTAATATGGAGGTAATAATAACATTTTCAACATACTGTGAATAAAACCTAGTCATTTGCATGTTCAACCGAATACAGTTAATTTAATCACTCTCATTTGAATAAGCCAGATTGCATGTGTGTCACTAAAAGGCTTTTAGTTGTTTTTTTTATTATAAAAAAAAATCTGTAATGGTGGCAATTTTTTTGCTTTTGTAATGCCAGTGATACCATTGTGTCAGGGTTAGGGTAACAGTTCTTTACCCATTTGCCTTTTTTCATGTGAGTGAAAATTGAGTGCCTAAACATCCATGTGCCAAAATTAGATTAATGTTAAAAAAATGCAGAAGCAAATGGGAAACATTTTTTATTCTGATTGTCATTTCAAGCACATAAGTTTTCACAATGTCACAATTCCAAGTTTTAAATTACAATGATATTGTTACATGATATTAAAAAGAATTTACTAGTACAAAGTTGTCTAGCAGCTGCTTGCTGCTGTTGCTGTAGCTGTTGCAGTAAAATAATGATTGGAAAAAAAAATCCATGTGAAGAGTAAAATGAGATATGTCAAAAATATGAACATGCATAGAAAGCGGCAGAAGTAGATAAAGTTAACAGGTATTCGGCTGTAGCTTTAAGCTTTCTTTTAAAAAAAAACAACCCTATTTGCTGAAAATCTCTTCTCATAAGCTTCTATATGGTGATGGGTTGTGATAGTAATAGAAGTTGTGAATGCGACCTCTCTATTTGCTTTAGTTTCCCTTAGTCTCGGGTTTTTGGATGAGAATTGCTGATTCTAAGAATTGCTGATGCGATCATGGATTACTGTAGAGGCTTTGTAGTGCACACTTATTTGACTAGTCAAGTTTGCAGGGTCGGGTTGAGTTGAAAATTGGCCTGGCTAGTGCATAGCAGCCAATTAGGAGTCGACTTGAGTAGACTTTTGCTTTCTTCATGATGCGGTCCCTCTGGGCAGTTTTGTCCAAGCTTATGTTCCAATATACACTACTTAGTTCAAAGTGCACATTTTGAAATAAACAAACTTGTGTACATCTCCTGTTGTAAGTAAAAGGAATAAAGATTAATGTACCAGAGAAGGTGGGCAAATATAGTTGTTTTAATATTCAGGAGGAATAGAAAATGTTATTTCACATCTCCAAATTTATTGTCTTGAGAGTTGATGTCCACAGACCATATATTTAACCTGACCTAGAAAAAAGACATGTTTTGTTTTGGGCTGAGCAAGGCAGGTGGGGAAAGAGAGACAGCGGCTCAGGAAAATCTGGCCAGGTTCTTAACTACCAAAGTGTAGATTATGCAGAATTGTGAGGCAATCATGTATGCTTGGTAAAATGTTAAGATTTGAATAAAATTATTTTTTTAGCCTTCAGAATCTATCAGCTTGTGCTTGCTGACCCAGCCTGAATGGTAGAAGTAACGGTCATACAAGGATTTAGCTTTTACAAGTGAATTGAAAGTTGTGTTTTGTTTGTCAAGAAGAAATGTTTAGTTTGATAATCTTGTGGTTGTATGAGATCGTATTAGATATAGCCATTTTGAAGAATGGAAACAATTTCAGAATGGGTTTTGTTCTACTGTTTTGTTGCTTGCTTTGAAAAGAAAAAAGATTTCATTTTTAGTTATGCTTTCTGAAGTTTAATTTTCAATACTATGTGACTTCTGTCAAGTGAAGGAAATAAATAACTCTAAAAACTTTTTTTGCCTTCGTAACAACCAAAGACAAGAAAAATTGTTTTTAAAAATCTAAAAATTAAGTTTCTGGATGTTTGTGTTATGCTTAGAAGCAGGCAGCCCTGAGAATACTGTGGTATGTAGTTTAGAATCAACCTTGCTTCAAACGTATGCACACAAAAGATCCCAACAACAATGTGAGCTGTCTCTGGATGATCTTGTTGACTCTTTTTTGGGGGGATATATGCCAATGAAGATTAAAATTTGACAACCTTATTCAAGCAATATTTGTTCTCAGGAACTTCTGGAATAGCAAAATTTTATTTCAAGTTTTTCTGCTGATAGTGGGAAGATGTTACAACTCTGCTGATTATTGTCAAAAATATATGTGTTGATTGTTAAGTCATCAGTGAGATACCTCTTTATAACAAACAAATATCTTCAGTAGCTTTTGAGCATAATTTGTGTTGTGAATCTCAAATGCATTTGTAAGATACCAGTAATATTTGATATAATTGATTTTATTTATTGAATTTTTATGCTGTATACTTGAAGTCAGCTTTTCCATTATTCAGTTTCAAACATTTGAGGTGAGGGTGTTGGATCTTAAAAATTAAATGTTGTCTTATTCTTTATACAGTCCATTTTCTCAAGAAGTTGACTTACATCTTAAGTAATTTTATATTCCCTCATGGTTTGTTGCTGTGGGGGCAGTGATTGTTTTGGAGATTATGTGTCCGTCTTGAATAAGTTGCCTGTTCCAAAAGAGACCTGGTTAAAATAATGATGACATGGGGACATTCAGTGACTTTTGCCTCAGGTCTTCCTGAAGTGCTGTAGGGGCAATAACTGTACATATGTGTCACGGCGCAGCGGAATCAGGCGCTCGTCAATTTTTGGGCATGTAGAGTTGTTGGTATCATCTTAAAGCTTGTTAATTTGTTTTGCTTTCAATGAAAAAAATATCGGTTTATCTTAAGTACAAGTCGATATATTTACAAATTAAGTAGGTGGGGTCACCTGGTTTCAGGGGTAAAATTAGTGAGAAAATGGCCGCCAAAAATTTATTTCCTTTGCTGGAGAGTCTGTGGAAACTGAAAATTTACATTTTAAGTGCCTTTAATCAACGTTTTTCAGTAACACCCACACAGAAATTTGTTCTTTAATGGGCATGAAAGGTGATAAGCCAAAAAAGAAATTGGATAATAATTCACAAACCTGCCAGTTTCTTCACTTTGATTATTTTGACGAGCGTCTGATTTCACCACGCTGCCTCACATGTTATTTCTCCTGGCAATGTTTTTATTGGAGTGTTATCTTCATTTATTTTGGAACCATGGTATGATGCTACTTATTAACATAGTTGACTCCCTAAGCTTTATATGAATTCCAAGGAATGCTTTTTCCTTTATTTGTCCTATTTTTAGTGATCATTCCTTTTTACTGCGAATTATTATCTACACTTATAACATTCCTTTACTGAGAAGGTATGAAAATCTTGTAAAACATATTGTTTGAGATGCCATTACATAAAAATCGTATTATCCAGATCTTATAGCTATTTTTTACTCGTTTTATTTGTTCAAAAAGTATCTTTACACACGAAATGATTTTAATTGGAAGAGATGTTCTTTTATTTTCTTTACAGAGGTATAAGAGTTATGGGTAAATAAAGTCCCTTGTAGTCTGTAAGCATAGATTCTAAATCAAAATGATCCAGTGATTAAAAGATAATAATAACAGAAAGAAAGAAAGACCTGCCACCATCTTTATATTATGGTGTGAGGGGTTGAGAGCTAGAAAAGAAGTACACGCCTGGCATTCTATCATGTTTTCTTCCTACAGGTTTTTCTTTAGTCATATTCTAAAACCTGTGTCTTCATTGTGTGCATGCGCGCGCGCGCGTGTGTTAGTGTGTGTGTGTGTGTGTGTGTGTGTGTTTGTGTGTGTGTGTGTGTGTGTGTGTGTGTGTGTGTGTGTATGTGTGTGCATATTATTTTGAGTGTATAAATGTGATTTGTCATTTATGCATATATGTAGTAGGTACCGGTACATGTGTCACGTGCGTATTGTCATAGTTGTTGGAAAGACAATGGTTTGGGTCGCTTCTTTCTTTGACTGTTTCTTATTGAGCTTACTTTGCTGCATGTCATGTGTATGTGTGAGTGTTACCAATAAATTGTGATGTTATGAGAACTGTTAAGACAGTGTACGCCTTTTTTTGTATCTTTGAATGTTAAGTCAGTTATCTGTGATTAGAAGGACTTCACTTTCATTGAGTATAACATCTGAAAACGCCAGGGGGAGAATCGCCATTAATCACTGGAGAAATATAGCAGACTACTGCTTATCTCTCACATGTTCATTTATAAACTACCGCTATTCTTTCATTGTATGATTGTTATAAATATGTCGCAATTTACACAATTTAGGTGACAAGCAGCTTCGATTCTGCCTGTCAGAGACAACCCAGGCATATAATGTCCCAGTAGAAAGACAGAGTTAATCAACCAAAAATTATCCCTTACCGGGAATCGAACTCATTACTCCAACATTTGACAAAGAAGTACTTTATCACTACACTATAATTGCTGGTGGGTGGTTGGAGGCTGCTCTGGTGTGGTTTGCTTCTTCTTTCCCATAAAAAAACTATCGTCCTTATCTCCCCTTCTTCTTTTTTTATGTCTGTTACTCTCTTGTAACATGTCTAATGTTCTGGCGCTCATATGACCTTATGCAGTTGCGAGCGCCGCAAAACCTGTACTAAAACAAAACAATATTGCTGGTTTCTCTTTCAAAGCAACTTTCAGCACAGTAAGGTGATTTAAGAAGCAGTGTCTCAACATTAGATAATAGTCTTCTTGGATAAGGATGAATAATTTCAGAAGTACCGCTTTGAAAGTTTTTCATGTTACAGATCCTTTGGCAGTTTTGAAATTGAAAAGAGTAGGCCTTTCAAACTGCTGAACACTACAGGCAAAACTCAAAATTAATCCCTACCCAAGAAACTGCATCACTTCACCTACTCCAGTCAGTATAGATAATATAGTATAATAATGATATATGGTCGCTTTTAAGGACAAGATTTCGGGGGTTTCCAGAAATCTTGACCTACCTCAAAAGTGCGCATTGCCCTACCTCTAGAAGTTTAATTTCATTGGTGTGTATATTTATTTGGTTATAGAGAAAACTCTCCTTGTCTTGTAAAGAGACTGAATAAGAAACCAAAAACTTTAACTTCTATTTTCTCAAAAGAACATTTTTTGCGATAGCCCGCTTGTCCTTAAAAGCGACCATATAAATTTAGTAACTTCCAAAACGTGGCGTGGCTGTCCCGTCAGGCAAAGGATCCATCCTTCTACAAGTCTGTGTAGATGAAACGGCCATGTACGTAAAAAATCAATTGCACTACGAGATCTTACAATCTTACTGGTAGCTCTGGTGGCCTAGAGGTTAAGGTGTTCGCCTCTCATTCAATAGGTCCCCGGTTCGTATCCCGATAGCAACGGGAATTTTTCTGCTCTAAAATTGTCTCCTTTCACCACTTTTCTGCTCTCTAGCAGTGTTCTATCGTCTACTTTCGTCTCCACTTTCTGCCCCCACCCTCTCACCTCCGTTGCCACCTCCTCTGGGCTACTGACTCTTTCTGCAGCCTTTCTACTGCTTCTCTTTGGCTCCTTCTTATTGCTGTCTTTCAGCCACACCCCTTATGGTAGGAAAGATCTACACCTAGCCTTCTCAGACAAGGGCGAAAAATATCGGAGGTCTCGTGTGCAAGTTGCGCACGTTGAAGATCCCTTGGTGGTTCAAAATCGATAAGAGTAGGCTCCGGCCGCCATTCGGGCAAAATCCAAAGTTTCCTATCAACTGAAAATGTTTAATGTGTCCCGCGCGCTCATATGACCGTATGTAGTTTCGAGCGCCGCTGAACACTTACAAAAAACCCCCCAAAACCCCAGAAAACAACAACAACAACAAACAAAACAAAACAAAAACCCCCAAAGAAAAAGCCAACAATCTTACAGCCAGCTTCTCCTGAACTCTGGCAAGAGTCATCATCATTGCCTTTCTCACCCGCACCAGGGTCTCGGCCTAGAACGAACACTTTTCACCTTTCTCTATCCTGTTGTCATCCCACTTTTCTGCCTTTGTCCGCTCTTCTGACAGGAGTAAAAGTAGAAAAAAAAGATAAAATATAGATTCGAACCTGCTCTAACTTTCACCTGTATAAGACAATCATCTGTACCATCGGCCACAAGTTCCCAGTTCTCCACTTGCACAATTCAAAAATATTTATAATGTCCACGTGATTTTATGAAAAAAAAAATGATTATGAAATTATGCAAACTGAGCCCAAAAGTGAAATTATGCGATATAAAGAATAATAAAAGAAAATAATCAGAACTTATGCAACAAATGATCAAATTTTGCAGAATTATGCGGGATGCTTAAAACCCCAGGGGCAGAAAAATTATAATGACACTTTGCAAGACGACCGTCTATCCAAAACTGTCACTTTTCTCTACAATGGGTGGCCGTCTTAGACAATTTCGACTGTACTTGATTCATCTAAAAGTGGAAGAAATTAACAGTAACAGTCTCCAGCTTCTACTACTAACTGGAAGGATGATATTACTTCACCCGTAGCATCATATTATCAACAAGTTGCATTCTCTCTCTCTCTCTCTCTCTCTCTCTCTCTCTCTCTCTCTCTCTCTCTCTCTCTCTCTCTCTCTCTCTCTCTCTCTCCCTCTCCCCCCCTCTCTCTTTTTTTCTCTCTTTCTCTCTCTATCTCTGATCTCTCTCTCTCTCCCTCTCTTTGTTTTAATCTCTCTCAGTTTTTTTGTCCTGCTCTGTGTTTCAATCTTTTTCGACGATCTCTCTCTCTCTCTCTCTCTCTCTCTCTCTCTCTCTCTCTCTCTCTCTCTGTCTGTCTGTCTGTCTGTCTCTCTCTCTCTCTCTCTCTCTCTCTGTCTGTCTCTCTCTATCTCTCTCTCTTTCTCTCTCTCTCATTCTCTCTCTTGCTGTCTTTCTGACTCTCTGACTCTCTGACTCTCTGACTCTCTCTCTCAATCTCTC